ATGTGAGGGCCTGCCTACACATCTGCAAATTTAACCAGAGAAAACAAGCAGAGCTAGTGCCTGGGTCTGACCCATTCTGAACCAAAGTGTGAATGAAATAAAAGAATGGCCTGTCACCTGGAGAGAGCCACAGTGTTACTCAGAGACAAGAACTTGGTTTATAGCTCCTAAGTCATCATAGCACACAATGCTAATACAAAACATAGGAATCCTATATAATAAAAGGGTAATATGCAAATCGACCAAACGGTAGAACGACTGGTCGCTGTGACATGCACTGACCACCAGGGGGCAGCCACTGAACACAGGAGCTTCCCCCTGGTGGTCAGTGCACTCCCACAGGGTTCACGGCTGGCAAGCGCAGCAGCGGTGTTGGTAGCCTCTCCAGCCTCTGCAGCAGCACTAAGGAGGCTTGGGCCCACTCCCCAGAGGGAGGGGGCCTGAGCCATCAGTCGGACATCCCCCAAGGGTACCTGGACTGCGACAGGTGGCAGGCCGGGCTGAGAGACCCCACCCTCCACCCCTGACCCCCCGACTGCACAAATCTCATGCACCAGGCCTCTAGTATTCACATAAGAAACAGCAAGGTCAATGCTTTGGTGACCAGGCATGGGATAAAAATACGGTATCAGAAATCATTGTCTGAAAAGGAATCTTTCTTTCTTTCTTTCACCAAATTACTTGTTTGATAGGCACTGAACATCATATAGCATCAAAGAATCTTACCATCTACAGAATTATAGATAATAATTTCATGTTCAGGACAAAGAGGAGGCACTGGAGTCATTTCTACCAGTAATCAGACAACTATGACAAAGCCATTGGTACCTCTGTGCCTCAGTTTCTCCTTATGTAAAATGGGAGGACTTAACCCACCCTACCTTTCTTTTAGGCTTTTTGTGAGAATAAGTGAGATTACCGATCATTGTGCAAACATAAGGTCTTGCTTTGAGTCATCAAATCAAAGGGTTAAACCTGGGAAGTCCATTGCCAGGTTTATTTATCTGACACAAATGAGTTTCTGCAGTAAACACCTTGGTACCGATAGAGAGTTTTGATCAATAGCAATCCATCACCTCCCTGTTCTAAAAAAGACTTCAGCCCTAGCTGGTTTGGCTCAGTGAATAGAGCGTTGGCCTGCGGGCTGAAGGCTCCCAAAAGCACATGCCCGGGTTGTGGACTCGATCCCCAGTAGGTGGTGTGCAGGAAACAGCCAATCAATGATTCTCTCTCATCATTGCTGTTTCTATCTCTCTCTCCCTCCCCCTTCCTCTCTGAAGTCAAGAAAAATATATTTTTAAAAATACTGATGGCATTTGAAACCGCTTTCAGGGTCTCTTCCAAGCTCAATGAAGATACATGTGCTTGGATCATGAGAATTTCTTCTTTCAGGTTCTGCCTGGCCATCTGGCTGGGAGAGTGGATTGGGGTTAGGAGATGTAATGAGGGGGTGGGTTGCAGGCTCTGATGTTTATGGGTGAATGCTTCAATTTTGGAATACCATGTATGCCATGCTCATTATCTGTCCTCCTAGGCCCTGAATTTCAACAGTGCGGCTGTGCCACAGAAACCCGCCCTGGAAGAACTGGATCTTTACAAGACGAAAGTCAAGCTCTGCATCCTCCTTCACGCTTTCAGAGTCCGCGCAGTGACTATCAACAGGATGATGAGCTATCTGAATTCTTCCTAAAAAGGCTCAGGTCTCGCCCAACCTTAAAGTCATTTGAACCAAAGCGATTTTTATAGGCTGTGCGGGAGGTGGTGGCTTGACCCGGTCCTACTTAAGCTAGTAATTTTCTTGTTGTTTACATTAGTCAACCACCCAAAAGTTGAACATGTAACTACTTTATTTAAATGGGTCCTTTCCTCGCGTATATTCCACATTTACTAGGGATAAGTTGTTTTTAAAGTTTTCATAAGCAAATTGCTAAAGGGGGAAGTTTTCTTCGCTGTGTGTGATTTTTAGAAAAACAGGAATTTATAAGCTATTTCTATATCAAAGTGTTTGTTGAAACACTCAAGCATAATTTATTTTAAAATATTTATTTATATAAGGGTGTGTTCGTGAAGGCATGTGAGCTAACTTATATTTATTTATGTCATATTTATTAAAATATTTATTTTCAAATGGATTTGAGAAATACCTGATGTTGTTCTAAAAATAAGATGATGGAATTAATTTTCATATTTCTCTAATGTAATTGGAGTACTTTCAGTGTTAGAAATACACATTGTGGGGAAACTGACAACACTGATGGAATCTGAACAGAATTACCTTGGAAAGATTGTGGCAATGTTCTTACCCATTTCCTAATGACTTTAATCACCTACTTTAAGGGAGCCTGGTTAGGCTAGAGACATTTTAATGCTGAAGTCCTCGAGTGAGTCACTTTATTTTTGTTCACCATCTGAATCTAAAACACAGGAGCATGTTTTTCCCTGCTAGCCACAGCTCTATAACATACTGTGCACTAGACAAATACATAATAATACCCTCCAACTGGGAAAAGCATCATTAAGAGGCCTTCTAGTTAAATTATTCTAATTTTCATGACCCTTTGGGCCCGCAGGGGGAAGTTGTTTCTAAATTACAATGAGAAAAAATTCTCCATTTGCTTTAAATTATATAGAACTTCTGCCTGAGCCACATGGATAATTGCCTTGCTTTGGCTTAAGAGAGGTGCTCTTAATGACCCAAATATTAAATTCCATCTTGTTAATTCTCTAAACGATGCGAATTTTAAAAGATGCACCTGATGGAATCACATCATTTTAGTACTCTGATAATCATATTGTGCCCTTGGGAACAAACTATTC